ATTCTACTTTTGAATTTATTCCCAAAGACATATGATCCAGTACCAGTGCTATTGACTGTAAGCTCTTTGATAAGGTCCAAAGAAAAATCAGCAATATTATTCGTATTGATCTGGCAGCTCGGCTTCAATTTCCCACCACCATAAGGTTGGCTCTTTGCCTCTTAAATAAATACTTTCATGGTAATTGTTCAGATGAGCTCTTCACTATGGTACTTAGACATTTTGAACTTAAGTGCAGAACTAAACTGGTATCAAGAACTCATCAATTTACAGTTGAAATGGCTAGATATAACTGCAAGTTCTATGCTAACAGTTTCTTTTATCACACTTCTCACCTGTGGAAATCCTTTTGGCTCCATTCTTTTCCAGCCAACTTTAATCTGCAAAAATTTAAACACAATGTCAATCTATCTACTGTCCTCCTGATTACTCTTTTCACTTCTTGCTCATTATTAATGTTTCTGTTGCTAATTTGTCCACTCCCTGTAACCTATTGAGTTTTAGTGGCTTTACTGTTTTGCATGGGGTGATACAGATTTAAAAAAAAAAAAAAATTAACAATAACCCTCTATCTTGAGTTGCTCTCAAGCCTTGTATTGAATGAATTTTAGTACAAAAATAGCAAAAAATAAATAACGGTAAAAAAAAGACACTCTTCTATCTTTATAAAAGTCAGATAAGTACATAAATAGAGTATTGCTGCCATATCAGGGCTGGAGCTAAACAACCCTCACTTCCCAGCTTTGACAGAGTTCAAAAGTGTTTGCAAGGCCTTGTAGGTGCTGAATTATTTTTCACCTCACAAACTCTTTACCACTGCTGCCACCTAGAAAGCCTCTTGCTGCTCTATCACTATTTCCATAGAAAATGTTCTGATGAGCTACATTCATTTGTTCCACCAGTTCAGACCTTTACTCCCAAAACCCACCATACCATATACACTGGGTCAAATCAGCCTTATCCCTTTCGTATTTCATTGGTAATAAAGAAATTCTATTCTTCTTCCAAAGAGCTGCTTACTTTGTGGAGCAGACTCTTGTGTGTATACTTCCCTGAACACTGCAATCTTAACCAAGTCAAAGGTCAACTTTTAACAATCCTACATATTCCCATAATCTGTATTTTACTTCCTCTCCCTACATCCAAACAACCTTGTTTAGTAACCCTCTAAACTGAGTGGCTCTTGGCCTGGGCAAGCCAAAAATACTGAGAAAAAAAAAAAAAAAAAAAAAAAAAAAAAAATTAAAGAGGGGAAAGGGAGGTAACTTTGTTGAATAATAAATGTTACACCTTTAAGACATATATATATATATATATATATATAACAGGTTACAAAAAGAAAAAAAACACCCTAAGAAAGGCAATAGAGCCACTAAGATGCGAAGCATTACTGAGTATGAATGAATTAGAAAAAGAAAAGCATCAAGTGGTGAGAAAAATAAAAGAACAGGAATTAAGACAGTAGATAACAGTTGAGATTGCATTTAAACTTCTGAACATCAAAGTTGGTGGGAAAGCAAGAAGCTGTAAGAGAGTTCTACAGATGAGAAAAGAAATAGCATCGAACTTATATTTAGCCAGTTCAACTGTGAATTGATGAGGTCTTGTTACTAGTCTAATACTATGCTTAAATTCATAAAGACCTCATCTGAACAATTACCATGAAAGTATTTATAGAAAAGGCACAGGGAAGCTACATTATAGCAATGGGAAAGTGACTGAAGGTGAGATGCCAGGTGACTTGACTTGTATCGGTTTTCACCCTGGTTGGGTTGAATTGGCTTCCTCCCGAGCAAATACAGCATCATGGACCATTATGACAAGGCTCATTCGATCCTTTGCCAGGAATCTAAAACTTTGGACCGATAGATTTACTGCTAGGTCAAAAAAAATTGTGCCAGGTCAGGACTAACAACACAGCAGATTCTTCTTTGGACTTTATAAAGAATCTAAATATAACACCAGCTCCAATGTGGCAGCAATATTCAAAGCAGGGATGAATAGTAGACAAAAATGTGTAAGATAGAAAGTTTCTCTTGCTAGGATCTATTATGTCACAGTGAACCAACTTTCCTAGCTGCAGATTTGGCAACTGATTCAATATACTTTTTCCACTTCATGTGAACAGATCATTAATGTAAGAAGTCACTCTCTTAGAGTTTGGCATCAGCCATACTGATGGAAGGCAGAAAGGGGTCTCTCATGTCTCTCTTAATAGAGAGTAGTTTTGTTTTGGAGGCGTGAAAATTAACAGGTCATTCCTTGCCCCAATTAACAGCAGATTTTAGGTCACTTTTGAGGTCTGCCAATTGAAGCCTATTGAACTGATCAAACACATGCTACTATTAAAATTCAGTAAATATATCTCCCCCCACACACACTTTTATAAGATACCTCTTTTTTTTTTCTTTTAATTTTTTTTTTTTGCACATTCCACATTTATAATAATCTTATTTGGCATAGGAGGCATGCTTCCACTTACTTTCTGGAAGTTAAGCAAGACCAAGAATGGACAAGTTTTAAAATTTCAGAAGCAAAAAAACAGATGTTGTTTTTTATGACAATGGAAAGGGATGGGATGGGAGGGGATGGGAGGGAGGAGGAGGGGAAAGACAGAAAAGGGAGGGAGAAAAGATGGGAGGAGGGGGAGAAATTGGGAGTAAGGGATGGGAGGAAAGAATAAGATGGGAGGAGGGGGATGAGATGATTAGATGGGAGATGGAGGGGGGAGAGAGGGATGGTATTCTAAAAAGAGAGATGGGAGGAGGGGGGAGAGAGAGAAAGGCAGTAGGGAGAGGCGTTAAGGAGAAATTACAATATAGACATAAACATGTACAGAAGTTAAAATCTTACCGATAGCTATATGTCTAAACAAAAGGTACAGAAATTTGAAGTAAATTTTTTCTGAATTTTAAGAAAAAAAAAAAAAAAAAAAAAATAAATAAATAAATAAATAAAATAAATAAATAAAAATAAAAAATGAAGCAATAAAAAAAAAAAAACCAATAAATCATGAACTGCAATGCTTTCATCCTAAGACCAAACGACAAATAAATTTTCCCTTGAATTTTTAAAATCTTTCTGTGTTCATGAAAATAAAGGCTTGAATTACATTTTGAATTCATGAGAATTAATAATTTTTTTAAATAAAACTCATACATGAACATCACTTAGAAAAAACAGAAACAGCCAAATACTTCATTTCAAATTATTTTGAATGTTCATTCTATGCAATAGCTAAAAGGAAGGATTTTTGCAACAGACATGGTGAATTATTTCAATTCATTATATTCACTTTTTTGCAAATATTAGGGAAAGGTATGGATCTTCTTCTCCCCCTAAGCTTTGGGCAAATAGAAGATAGTCTTATTATCATTTAAATCATTATTATCTCAAAAAAGAAAAAAAATAAATATTTCTTTTAAAAAAATAATTTCTGATAAAAAATTAATCAATTTAATTTTGATTTTTTTAGGAATGTCTTTTAGATATCTTTACATTCTCTGGAATATTTTCCAAAGAAACTATTTTGGAAACAATATGAGGATCTTTTTTTATATTGTCATTTTTTTAGAATTGATCTTCAATTATATATATATATATATATATATATATATATATGTATATATATATATTTTTCATTTATCAATCAAATTTTGATTAGAATTTATGAATCCACCTCTTCTTTTTTCATCATGGAAATGGTATAATTTTTTTTTTTTTTTTATGTAATTTGCTTTTGAGCTTTCCTAAGATGATCATAAAGTATAATTAAATTACAACTATACGGCTTTTTGATAAAATTCATTAAAGATCAAGAAACTAATTAGATTACTGGAAAGGATCAAAAAAAAAAAAAGAAGACACAATATTTATATTATTCAATGAACAGGTTTTGAACAATGATTTTATATATATATATATATATATATATATATATATGTGTGAAAATATATAGAAAATAAGAACTTGTTAGGTAAATAATCCAAAGTTTTTAGTATTTTATTATTTTGAAAAAAATAGTGCTTTTATACAAAAGTAGAGCATAAATATAATTATTTATTTAAAAAATATGATTAGTACTTTTAATTCAATTCAAATAATTATATTGAAGTTTTCAGCTCTTGTTTTGAAACATGAGAACTCTTATGTAGCGTTGGAATCATTTTTAAATAAATGAAAATATATATATATATATATATATATATATTATGAATATTATTATATATATTCATTAAATTGGGCCAATCTGACATATTACTTAGTTTATTTCTAATGAATGGGAGCTTCGTTTGACCATCAGTTTCTCTGTAACAAAGTGATCAGAGCACAGCAGATCTAATGACCGTTTCTCTTTGGGGAGTGCAGGTTCAAGTCTTCCCATAGACAGTATGTTTTTGTAATAAGATTTCTCAAATATCCAGATCAGTAAATGACAATAAATAAATATATTTAATAAATAAACAGAGCATCTACTTTAGTGGATACCCAAATAAGGGTATCCAAGAAAATTAATGTTTAAGTAATAAATAAATATAAAAACATAGAATTAATATACAACCCCATAAATCAAGCCCTACCCACATTTCTCAACCACACAAGACAGACATGCTTGCGGAGGTGTAGAGATCTCACACTTATACACACAACAATACTAACATATAAACTTACACACATCATACACACTCCCAAAGAACAAATGATAACATACCCTTCCCAGGAAGCAATAAAACTGCCAAAATGACCAATGGGATTCAGAGTCACATGAATCTCAACTGCCTTTATCTTAAAAACTGAAAAGAGACCGTTTGACCAACATGGGGACTGACCAAAATTAACAATAAAAAAAAAAAATTAAAAATAAGTAAATAAATAAATGAAAACTGCAGATAAAGTACATTTTCTTCAGAAAGTCATTCACTGCTACTAACAAGCAGGAATTTTTTTCTCACAATTATGGCCACACTGGCTGAAACAAGTCGAGGAACCAAAATAAATTAATAAAACCAAAAAATATGTATATACAACCCAGTGTGTCCGAAAAGTTTAATTTTTGAATTTTTCAATATTTTTTATTGTTCTATATATAAAAATAAAAACAATGTAATACCAATAAAAGAAGCATAAATTATTTTTCTACAATAAAAACAAAAATATGAATATAGGCAGACACTTGCTGAAACCATTAGAGAAAGGTTCATCTAGAAAACTCTGGTGTAAGAGTTGCTGAATATAACATCAATCTGCCAAGTAATAAATTTTATATTTGTATTAATCATATATATATATATATATATATATATATAAGGCCACTCATAAAACTGGCGGGTTTCTTTTAAAAGCAGTTCATGATACAAAATGAGGTAACAATATTGAATTTTATTGATTACATTGTTTTTTTGCAATACAAATTATTGAAATAATTATTAATTCCTATATTATAGATAAATAGATGTTATGTGTTATAAATGTTTATTTTTCACACACATATTAGTTGGAATCTAATATGCAAGTGTTTGCTTATAGATGTAGACTGATATAGGAATGTGTATTGAAAACAGATACTGAATCTCCTACGAAGAATGTAAAAATGGACAAAGGTGAAAATTCAGTTGTCTAATTCTAATGAAATTTGGCATGGCACTTGGCAGAGGGTCAGGGTACAATATGCCCTTCAATTGATTGGGGGATTATGCGTTGTTTAAGTTTTATCTTGGGAATACACATAAGATTAGAGTTTTAGTAATATATATATATATACGAGAGAGAGATTATATATATATATATAGATATAGTTGTATATTTAGGCAGCAATCCTTCCTTTATGCATGTTTCATTAAAAACAGACAAGGTACTACGGTTGAGCTTTGTATTTAATTTTTTTTGTGTTCTGACAAGAGCTTTTCTTTTTCTGGACAAAAGTGTAAAGAACTGTCCAAATGTTTTGTATTTCCGAGAAACTTTCGGCTATACCTTTAGCCATTATCAAGGATGATTCGATTATCAGCTTAGTAGAGTGTGTGCATTCTGTGTATGTTCAGTGTGTGGTAGTGATGTTTTTAATTTCGAATACGGTTAGCACATTGTGGCTTTGTTCATAGTTAATATTGTTAAGAGTTGGCTTTTTTTTTTTTATTATTAGAGCTTCCATTATTTTAAAATTTTTTTTGCAAGTGGATGCAGTTAATATATTTGTGATTTCTACTAGTATGTTCCTAAATAAGTGAATCGGGTAAATCTAGTGTGTGTGTTTAAATGTGTTCTAATGGAGCTGTGATCAGATAGGTGTAACATAAGATGTCTGGATAAACATGTGGTTGTGTTTACCGATGTAATTATTTATGAGTCCGGTAAAAAAGAGGAACAAAGTTTTAAAAAACATTTGAACTCATTAGATGATGTTTGTTCTTTTAATATATATATATATATATATATAAATATATATATATATATAAAAATGCAAATAAATACATATAGATCTGACAGCATGAAGAAAAATATAATGAAAATAAAAATTTCAGTTATCTGTTTGGATTGGTATTGCTTTTATGTCCATAAAAATTTTCATGTTGAATTGTATATGGTCTATGTTAATTATGTTTTATGAATATGTCCTGAAGATGGTCTATTAGACCGAAACGTCCGTCATATGTTGATAATTAAAACAGCATAATGTTTATTAGGTTTTTTTGTTTTTTTTTCAGTATATTTTTTCATTATATTTTTATTATATATATATATATATATATATATATATATATATATATATTGAAAAAAATAAAAATATGTTATAAAAATCACTACAAAATAGCAAAAATTTTATTTCAACATAGAATGGTGATATTAAAAGTGATGTTGAATGTAGATTCAATATTCAATGTCTATTTGTGTGTATATATAAAATTTAGGCAGCATATCTTTATTCAAACATGTTTGGTTGAATAATCTGAACATATATCTATTTATTTTTATTTTAATCCTCTCAAATTGAATATAACAGAGCACATTCATAATTATAATAGAGCAGGTTTCATGCATATTTACAAAAAAATTCACAACTATCAATTACATTAATTTATTGCCTTGACAATTCACCCCTGAATATGATTTTGAATAAGATTGAAAGTACATGGGAAAATAAAAGAAATGGTAATAACTACAGCCTTTTCATTAATCAGTTTAATAACAACATTAAGAAACTCATCCATGAATTAGAGAGGATTAAAATAAATAGACATAATATGTCCTGATAATTCAACTTAAGATATATATATATATATATATATATATATATATATGAGAGATAATTTCTCATTATGATTAACAGTATTATATGGGTCCATGTGTTTTAGACATTCCTGTTATTTTAAAATGGTAAAAATTAATTATTTACAATATTTTTATTGTTTGGACTTTGTCATCATTGATGCCATATTTACGACATTTCAGCTATTGTATGCTCCATCCTTCATGTGATTTTTTTCTTTTTCGAACTGAACCCTTCATTTTTGTCTGCCGGGGTAAATCGTTCTAGTTCCACATGCCATGCCTCTTCCAGATATCTCAGTATTAGTTCTCTCTCTTTAACTCAAAGGTCCAAGTTTTTTCATTTACTTCAGCTGTAGCCAGGTACTGAAATCAGAACTCAGTGGGTCAAGTCGGTTGAATTCAACCAACACATCTACTGGGTCACATGTCCTCAAGTTAATCATAATGGATGTGCAGGAGGTGTCATGGATAGCAGCTTCGAATGAGAAATCGGCAAACAGTGTTCAAATTCCAGTTGGATTCATTGCATTCACTTATACTTGAGAAAAGTATGAATCCATCTCCCCCAGCTATGGATTAAACATTTTATTCTCTTCATATTCCATTGGTAAGAAGAAAGTTCCATTTAGAGAGCTTATTTCCAAGAGCTGATTCTTTGTTGACCTAAGAGGATGCTTCCCAGATTACTACAATTTTAACTGCTTCAAACCCAGAGTCAACAATTATCCATATCATGTGTAATTCTAATGTCCATGAAACAACTCCATTCAGTAACCCTCTACATTGAGTGGCTTTGGAGCCTTATTCAATGAATAATAACCTAAAAAAATATAAGAGATTAGGAAAAAGGAATTTTTGAAGATTGATGTGTTTGTTTTTCATGGTTTACGAACCATTTGCAAATTATCTAATGCCAAAAACTATTTTTAGATTTTAAGAATTTTGGGGAGATAATTATTTACTGCTACAAGTCATACTAATTAACCCATAGCTGGGGTGAAAAGTTGGATTCATACCTTTCCCAAGGGTGTTTGCAATTAAGTAAATATAATGAACCTGGCTGTAATTGAAACTTGGCTCTCCACATTCCAATTCTGAGCCATAATCCATTACACCACCCACACATCCTGGCTTACAGTACCTGGCTTACTAACCTATTGCAGGTTATTTAAAGCCAATAATTTTTTTTTTTAGATTGTAATCATTTTTGGGAGAATGATTTCCTGTTACAAGTCCTCCTAAGTAACGTATAGCTGGTGGCAAGTGGCAGATTCATACCTTTTCTAAGGGTATTTGCACATAAGCGAATATAACAAACCCAACTGGATTTCAAATTTGACATGCCAAGTTCTAATTCCTGGTAGTTATCCATTAGACCACCTGTACATCCAAATTTGCAGCATCTGGTATTCCCAAGTGGTCACCCATGTAGCTATTGACTAGGCTCTACATTGCTCAACTTCAGTGATTGTACAAGAACTGGTGTTTCAACATTATATGGACATAAGCCAATTTTTGAAGACAAGCCATTGGTGAAAAGAGAAAAAAGGCAAAGAAAAACAACACAGCTAAATAACATCACTCGCCATTGTTCACCTCTTCCCCTCCCCTCGCTTCTCAGCATCTATCTATCTCTCTCATCTCAAGTCTTCTGTGTTGCAGATACCACCCCAGCACTGCCCACTCTTCAACAAGAAAAAAAATCAAGACCGTCTTCTCCTCTGCCGCCATCAAAATTCTCAGCATAGATTAAATAACTAATAATTACTCAACAAGCAGATTAGGCCAGAGAGCTAAACCTTTCTCTCTCAGCACCTGCTTTTTGGAGAAATTAGAAAACGATCTGAGAGAGAAAGAGTGAAAGTGTGTGTGAGAGAGGATTGAAGGGGGAGAACATTTGAGAGAGAGAGAAATAAACTGATCAATAAAGAGCTGTTCTTCATTCTCTGCCTACTTCAAAATGAGCACTTGACAAGACACACTTAAGCCTTCTTGTCTGTAAATGGGAAAAGACACGTACTGAACAAGAGTCAGCACTCGCCCCACCCTGAAAGACAGACAATAGAACAAGCAATAACTTGACACTTGTTTCTTTTCTTTAACGCAGTCATCCCTCATTAACTAGAGTATTGGTTCCAGGATATCCCCAACCCATCCATATATAGATGGCCATATATATATATATATATATATATATATATATATATGCGCGCACACACACAAGCTTTGCCAGAAAGTCTGGACTCACATGGGAAGTGGAAAGAAAACAAATCTTGATCTTTGTCTGGTGGAATTTCCAAAGACTACTGAATTTCAAGCTTGTTCCACAGTTGCGCCATCAATGCTAAACTGCATTACCAGCAGCTAGATAATGTTTATGACAAACTAAAAGGAATATCCTGCTTTGATCAGTAAGACAATGTAAGGCCACACACTGCCAAGTCGACTAAGAAGTTCAAACACATGAACAGTGTTGAGACTCTTCCACATCCACCATATGGTCCCAATGCTAGGGTCTATTCCACTCAATAACACACATCCTCCATGACCAGCGATTAATGACTTTTGATGAAGTGAAGGAAGCTTGCTTACATTTTTTTGATTCAAAGCCAGTAGACTGGCATGTGGGACAGATTCAGATGCTAGCTGATCAGTGGCAGATCATTGAGAATGAGGGACATTATTTTGAAGAATAAATGTTTGCGTTGTCCATAAAATTTTGCTGCTTTCTTTCCACTACTTTCAAGACTTTCTGGCCAGCCAGAATATATATATATATATATATATATATATATATATATATAACCTTAAAAGCTACCCTATCGGGTGGCATTTATGCTAGCTTCTGCAGTGGGCTCTTGATTGGGCTTTCATCACAATAGGTAGAGAGGAGTAGATCCAATAGACAACAATGAACTACAGAAGAACTCAAAATTGATCGCTGTACTTATGTATTGCATTGATATTTAAGCTTACTTTTTCAAAGTTCAATGGTACTTCTTCTGTCGCTACTTAATTTAGAGAATTTGATGCATGTAGGTCCTCACTTTCCCTAAAACAATTGTTTTTATTTCATATTTGTTGGATTTTGCAATTAATTTTGATTATTCCCAAATTTATTTCCAAGTTATAAAAATTGTTATCATAAAAAAAAAATTTGCCACAAAAAAAAAAAAAAAAAAAAAAAAAAAAATCTACAAAAACAATCACAGTAATGAAAACTTGGAAATCCAAAATCTCAGCACTGAGGGTCTGTATCTAGCCCGGAATGTTTTTAATTTGCTCATGATGTCGGCCCGATTCCAAAATCGTACACTATGTTGGGCTACAGCTTCTAAGATTAAAGTGAGAAAGTGTGACAGTTAGATTGGCATATGCACCAATCGAAAAACAAACAAAGCAATTTCAATAGATTTGGATTTATGCTTATTCTGGCATTTTTATTAATTCTAATATTATTATAGTGGATGCCCATATTTGAAATATATGCCCTGTTTTTTATATAACAGGGCATATATTTATGCTCAAAATGTTATCAGAAAGAGTAATACAAATGCAGAGAGACGTGTACCTGTGTTTTATAGACCACGCAAAGGCATTCGACAAAGTACGCCACAAAGATCTGTTAGAGCTGCTAAGCCACCTTGACAGTCGAGAAAGACATTAGAATAATCACGAATCTATACTGCCTGCATACAGATAAAAAATGAGTTCAGTAGATAGACAAATATAGAAAGTGGGTGTATGACAAGGATGTGTCTTCTCAACAGACTTATTCAACCTATACAGCAAGGCAATTTTGAGAGAACTGGAAATACTACCAGGATTCATCATTGGTGGCCACAATATTAACAATGTAAGATATGCAAATGAGACAGTGCTGACAGCAGACACAGAAAGGAAACTACAAAACCTCCTACAGAAGGCAGTGAAGGAGATGAAGAAGGGACTAAGCATAAACTACAAGAAGACAGAATGGATGGTCATCAGCAAAAGGATGAACCTAAGATGCAAATTATATGTTGGGGATACTAAAATCAAGCAGGTATGGTAATTTAAATATCTGAGAAGTGTTTTAACAGAAGATGGAAAGTGTGACACTTAAATCTGAAGACATATTAGGATGGTCAAAGATGCATTTCAAAAGCTAAGCAGAGTAGTAAGAGACAAGAAAATTTTCTTGGTGTGGCCTGTTTAGGGGCCAGAAAGAAAGACACAGAAGACAAACATAGGTTGACAAGTGTATTGAAATAATAGATATATACAAAGAGCGTTAATAATAAGCAGTAGGTTAACACTGCATCTCAGCTGCTCACTCACACACCGAGGAAGTCTCACAGGTTAGTATTTACGAAGAGGAGGAAGAGTTCATTCTACTGTAGGTGGGTTACTGCAACAGTTGGAAAGAAAGAAAAGAGTACTGAACTGTTACATGATATCTGTCCTCCTGTATGGCAGTGAATGCTGGACAATCTCCTCAAAGATGAAGAGGAGAGGAAGCAACAGAAATGTGGTTCTACAGTAGGATGCTGAGAATACTATCGATTAGACATGTGATTGAACATGTGAACATGTGATTGAACATGTGAACAGTGACAAAGTTTTGGAAGGAATGGAAACAAAAAGGAAACTTGCACTTAACATCAAAAAGAGGCTGTTGAAATATTTGGGATATGTCATGAGGAAGGAGGGCTTGGAAAATCCGATACTCACATGGTAACAGAGACAGAGGAAAGCAACATGTGAAATACTTAATGGGCTTGAGCAAATGGATGGCAGGATAGGGTTTGGGAGAAATAACAGAAAGTCAAAACTTATTAAGAGCTACAAGGTGCAGGAAGAGGTGGAGAGCCATGATCACCTACATCCTGAAGGAACACAGCACAAAAGAAGATGCAACTATCCAATCCTAATCAAGTAAGTATAACAATTTCTGATGTGTTTTCAAAAAACAGTATGTTCGGGTATTGTAACTTTTGTCAACAGTTTTCATTTTATTTTATGGAAATATGAAACATGAACTCCTGTAATGCACCATTTCGGAGAAAAACTCTTAATATTAAATGTGGTGCACAACTGAGCGAGACATTCTGCTAATTGTTCCATGTGTTCACAGCACAAAAAAGTCTTGATCTACTTGCATTCTTACCTGCCACGTATTTCAATCCAGAACCATCATTCTGTAACAGATTTTGATGCCTTCACTACCTCAAAGAATGGTCTGCACTCAGTGACACAGATTTGGGATAATGACCATGGGTCATTTTTTGATTACATCTGAGATGAAATATGATTACTTGCATTATTTACATTATTCGGACTGTTATTCTCATCTTTACTGCCATATTTACAACATTTCGGCCTCTGTATCTCCGAGATGAGGTATTATGATTACTTGCATTATTTACATTATTCGGGCTGTTATCCTCTTCTTCATTGCCATATTCACAACGTTTTGGCCATTGTATGTTCTGGCCTTCTTCAGGTGATTGGAATTTTGAACCAAATCCTTTTATTTCATCACTCATGAAAGAGGGGAATTCCTCAAAATTATGAAATGATTTAATTCTCGGGACAAAAATAATGAAAATGGCAGGAGGAGGAAATACCGAATTTTTCAACTGCACTATGCCCCATACTGGTTTGAGCGAACATCAATAAATGCGAATGTTTCAAGCCAAGAAGAGAGTTTATTCCAGCCACTAGATGTGAGAAATCCCACATTACCATCTGCCAATGCCAAGAACCTCTGACCTCTGTATCTCCGAGATGAGGTATTATGATTACTTGCATTATTTACATTATTCGGGCTGTTATCCTCTTCTTCATTGCCATATTCACAATGTTTTGGCCAAAACTACACTTAAAAAAAAATTTTTCACCAAACCAACAAATGAACTTTGCCAAAATCACCCAATTGCCACTTCTGACTAGAAGCAGGTTGAGTCAAAAATAGTTGCACGAGAACTTTTAAACTATAAATCAACTGCTGTACAAGGAACAGATATAAAGTTATAATTTATTCTTTTTATCCAAAAATCATTTTAATTCAGTTCATCACCCTGTCTGAACCAACCCAATTGCAAGAGACCCTGACAATGATTTGATCTTGACCACCTTATGATCTAAAACCACAATGTGGGATAAGGCGAGATCTAAATTGAAGCAGTCACTTCAGCAACAAGCCACAGGCGTTGCACATCTTGGACAACCATTTTTTTAAATTTTGATGCTAATAGGTGAAAACTTTGCCAATTTGCCTCAGTTAATGTGTGGGTGGTGTAATTGATAATGGCTTCAAACAAGAAAATAGAGCTGAGTTCGAATTCTAGTCAGGTTCACTATATTCATTTACACTCAACTTTGGGAAACGTATGAATCCATCTCTGGGATGAACAGCAGGATAGACTGGGTTCTTTAGCCTTGGTTGGCAACCAGTCTACTACAGAAAGAAAGTGCAGCCTACTTCAGGAAAAATCTGAGTTAATCATGAATCAAAAGAGAAATGTTCGGCAAAGTGTGTATCACATATGGCACTTAACTGACTGAATTACTCTGCTACATACATAATGGCTGCATTCTTATTGTCAACCTTGACCTTCACACAACATTCCACAAAGATCCACTGCTGATACACATGGACGTGACTCTTAAGCTTGGCATTATGGACAAAAAAAAGGTTGAGAACCACTGCTCTAATATCAGAAATAGGTCTGGAGACAGCAAAAACTGGTTCATTTATAGAAACCCGATAAATTGAAAAGTTGACTTGTGTTGAGGTGGACAGATTCCAGAATTCAGCTGACAGAAAGTGAACATGAAATCAAGATGGTCATTTAATATATATATATATATATATATATATAACAGAGGATGTCTGTCCAATACCTTTTCACTCGAGATCTATCCAACTGATTTTGACCAAACTTGGCACATACATTGT